AATTGTGAAGGTCCACACTAACTGACTGGTCAACTTGAGTAGACACACCTGCTAAATCGCCATAATTTGGATCAATGTTGCATTTACTCTCCGTATCTAACCGCTACAGTCCGTTTACATTTGTTCCAGTTCCACAGACTTCACCTCTTACTGAAAACCCATCTTTTAAGTAAATAGTACACCCTTTGTAATCAAAAACTAAAGCTTGCCCTTTACTAGCTATTTTCCTCACATATAGCAAATTTGTAGATAAATCTGGTACATACGTCACATTCGATATCACTCTCTCACCAAAGTTTTTAAGGTTCACAGAAACTTTCCCAGAACCCGCAGAGTAAATTTTGGTTTTATTAGCGACAGTGACCTCTTTAACTCCCTCGAAAACTTTCTTTGCCCTGAAACAGGTAGGTGGCAGACTGAGTGCAACTTATTTGTATTGGTTTCATAACAAATATATTGGTTGGTACTAATAATGCACGTAAGTACAAAAAAATCATCTTTTACCTAAAGGATTTTGGAAAAATATCAACATTTAATAGAGTTATCACTTATTAGCTAAGTTGATTTGTTATTATAAGTAATTTTTTCATACGAATGGCGCTGGTCTGGGATCCCTGAACATTATTGTACTATGTACTGCAATAACCAACAGTTGTTGAGGTTCCACCAAACGCCGCGAGAATGCACAACATGATCAATATCTACTTAAGTCGATAGCGTAGATTATGGAATAACGTATTGTTTGTTTTAAAACATGACACAATCTATATATATTATATAGGAATTTCTATCGTACTTTTTTTTGGCAGACCATAACTTCCTTATTTTTTCACAAATTTTCACGAATGAGGCGCAGTTTAATTAAAGCTTTTTTACCAGTGGAAAATATACCAATCACTCATTTTTCAGTGGTCTTTCATACAAACTATCTAATGTATCGTTCTGCATGTAATTTAGGCTTGAAATGTTTATTTACGTTATTTAATCAGCTGAAATACGTAAATTAAATTAATCAAAACAAGAAATATTTACTACTCAAATCCGAGTGATTCGTTTTTACTTCATCCAAGACCAACATTTTCTACGATAAATAAAATAACCCAGGAGATGAGATAAGATTATTCACTGTAAAGTCTAAACAAGAACAATTTAAAAGTATGTACCGCATGCATTTTTTAGCTTTTATATTTCTTTATTTAGGACAGCCTTCATTTTGACATACCCACCAACCATTCTATGTATATTTTTAAGAAATACATTTTCAAACATCACCTCTTTCTTTTCCTTATTACAGGTTTCTATTAATGGTTATGTTTTGTTATATTTGTTACCGACAGGAATCGATTTATATTAGTTTTGATTGGGTTCATTACCAAGGGACGTAGAACGCTATGTTGTATCTATTAAAGTTTTTGAGCTCACTAAACCGTTTAGGTTCTTCATGTTGAGTTGTTTATCCTGAATCACGTTGACAAATATTGTATAAGGTAAAAATACCTGTCACTGACTTGTGATCCTGCTACTCCGTTGGACTTAGAGTTTCGATGCAAATGCATCATCGGTCAAAACTTGAAGACATTTAAACCATTGTTGAATTGGTCACGTCAATATTTATGAAAAACACACATAACATACATTAAATACCCCCGCCGCAGCAAACCTGCCAACTAAGCGAATTTCCATTTGTCTGAATTTATTTTCAATCAAATCTATTTGAATAACATTAGGTTTAACGAGTTCCTAGGTTTGCTGCTACAAGGAAACTAAAAAAGTGTGTTTCTTAGTAAAATATTAATAGCTTAGCATAAAATAAATAAATTTGCCAAGTTTGATCAAATATATCCATAAACAAGCAAACTAGAACATCTTACAATATTCTCCATAAGAATTACACGAGAATTTTAAATTTACAATTTTTTGTATTTTCTTCGTTACCAATAACCATAGCATAAATTAATTAGTCGGTTCATTATAACCTAAACTTTACCTTCCTAATCCATCGATCTCTATTAGGCCTACTACAACTAGATCGCGCGCTGTACTCGCTGTACTGCTCAGAGATACATACGTATCGGTCCGGCGCTCCCCCACCACCTAACGTGTAAACCGTGCCACCGCCGCTGCCACACACTTTATACTGTATGGGGAGAACGTGTTTTCGTTTTTTTAAACTGTTATATCTTTGTTGATACTTATTCGATTTAAATGCGGTTTCCACCATTGTACTCGTTATAAAAGTACAAAGCTTTTGATGTAGTTTTACGTCAGTAAAACCCCGTTGTGCCATTATTAAAACAAGAAAAGTGCCTGACTTTCTATTTTTGTTAGTTAAATTATAATTACTAGTGTACATGTTGCTCGAATTCGAGCAATTGCAAAGTATTACAGGAGTTATTTCAAAACGAATAACAGTCATATTTACAATGAGTTTAAAAGAGTCAACTCAACGATTACCGGTGTGTAACACAGACCATGTTTATCTTCGTTATTGATAAACCTAAAGCTTTCCGGCCGGTTTTCTCCTTCTCAAAATGCCTCGCTGGACAGACAACCAAGGTCGATAGAGGGCCAATTGAGAACGAAAAGTCGTTTTGGGGTAGTGTTAGGGCGCATTTGTTACCTAATAGTTGAGATTGTCCAGGGTCAGGTGCTGACTGTGATGAGTTAAGCCTATTACGCGCCACTGTTCTGTACCTGCGGTCGTTATCACGAATACACCTGTCTATATGTGTCGTTGTCGTCGCGTCGGAGGCATTTAAAAGAATAAAACAACAAATAAACAAATTATAGCTACACAAAACTACGATGAATGCCCAAATTTGTTACAATCATGATAACACGATCCGTCATAGCGACACAAAACAACGATAAATACACAAATTTAAGATACAACCATACTAACACGATCCTTCTTGGGGGTTATGTTTACACAAACTCAAATAGTAAATAAATGCACTCAATGCGTTTCATTGAATTGGAAAATAAATAACAGCAATTAAACTATACAGCAGAACAACATTTAAACAATTATGTTCTCCATAAGGATAAAATGGGAACTTTCAAAGCCACTGGGTGTTGAGCCCAAGGGAATTTTTCAAAAATGTAAGGCCAGTTTGCAAATCTACGCGACAAGCTCTTTCCAATGAGACGTCAATGGATAAAATCGGTTAAGAAATGGCGGAGGAGTTCAGCCGACAAAGTTTCATGTAGCGTATCTTCTAAATCTATATACTTATTGATGACTTCACTAGAATGACCTTTGGTTATTTCTTGAAATCAAAGGATGAAGTAGTTGATTGTTTTCTTAAGTTTAAGACTTTAGTTGAAAATCAGACCAACAAGCCTATAAAAACTGTTAGGTCAGATGAAGGCGGGGATTACATGAATGCGAGACTAGAAGGAGTGTGTAATAGATTTGGAATAAGGCACCAGGTCACTACTCGATATAGTCCTGAGCAGAATGGGGTAGCAGGAGCGTTCAAATAGAACTATTATTGAAAAGGCTAGAAGCATGCTAAGTGACTCAAATTTGAGCAAGGGTTACTGGGTTATGCTGTGGAGGCAGCTATTTATCTTAAGAACCTAAGTCCTACAAAAGCTGTTTTTGGAGTCACGCCACAGGAGAAATGGACTGGATCGAAAGTGGACCTCAGTCACCTTAGAGTTTTCGGGTGCATAGGCTATGTGCATGTGCCTAAGGAGAGAAGGGCCAAATTGGACTATAAGAGTGTTCCTCACATTTTTGTAGGTTACAGTGAGGATGTCAAAGGTTACAAATTGGTCGGTCCTAAGTCTCCCCGTAGATTAATTTATTCCAGAGATGTAAAGTTTTTTGAAAACTTATTTTATAATGGGCGTGAAGAAAATGTTGATGAAACTATCCAACCAGTCGAGACCATAGTAAGCATCCAGACCGCCAAACTCGATGAACCTTGCAGGAATCCTGAGGCAGAAGAGGAGAGCTTCATTCTCGATAATATCAACATTGAGAAGATTTTGACACGATTTGACATGATTGATTGTAATCCTGCCAACACACCTATGGAAGAAGGGCTAGACCCAAAAAAGCCAGAGGTAAGCAGTAACAACTTGCAGTATCAGGAGCTGATATGCAGTCTTATGTATTTGTCAGTATGTACAAGACCTGATATTACTTTTAGTGTGACAACATTGAGTCAGTATAACACCTGTCATTCTGAGGAGCACTTTAAGTATGCAAAACGTGTTTTAAGATACTTAGAGAGAACCAAATCTTATTGTATTACGTTCACTGCTGATGAGGAACCTCTACATGGTTTTGTTGATGCCAGTCATGGAAACAACTTTGATAGGAAAAGTTTTACCGGATATGTTTTTAAACTGTGTGGAGGTCCTGTGTCTTGGGGAAGTAAGAAACAGAGATGCATGGCTGATTCCTCAACAGAGTCAGAGTTTGTAGCAATGGTTCAGGCATGCAAGCAAGCAATGTTTCTGAAGCACTTGTTGGAAGAGCTGGGAATATTTCTTGAACATGTAAATTTGCATTGTGACAACATGCCAGCAATGAAGATTTTGCAGAAGAGAACCGTGAATGACAAGACCAAACATATAATTCGTAAACAGTTATTTGTCAGAGACATAATCAAGAGAAAACTAGTTGTGCTGAATTACGTTCCAACTTCCAGGATGGTTGCGGACATTTTGACAAAATCACTTGGCAAAATCAAGCATGATGGTTTCATGACCGACCTTGGTCTTACCCCAATGAAGGATCAAGATTAAGGAGGGGTGTTGGAATTTGTAAACTTGTTCATCATTGCCTTCTTGGTATCAAGTTTAAAGCAGCTGTCATGTATGATATTGTATGCCATGTGTTTGCTATGTTTATTAAGATGTTGTAAATAAACTTCACTTCCACTATGGACTTTAGAAACAATACTGTGTAGTCATTTTACTCCTATTATTATAAAGGAAAATCAATTATAAACAAGTTACATCCTGTTCATCAGTCTGCCACCTACCTGTTTCAGGGTTGAAGCGTCTCTTGACGTAGTTGAGCAGACGTGTTGCTAGAGAGATACGGTGGCGATGGCGACGCCGATGTGTCTCCTTAGCTTCCTTCCCTGAAGACTCCTGTGTTTCCTGAGTTTGCGGACCTTGGGCCTGCGCACGGCGTCGACCCTCGCGTCCGAAGTTCTGGTGACCGACCACACTGTACATCGTGTCTCCCGCCCATTGACCTCACTCTGCAACAGTTTCAAACATTTTATCAATACGGTAGGCTACTGTATCTTTTTTCTAAATGTATCCTAATTTTATAATCTTATGCTCCTGCATCTGCATAAGTATAAACCAACTCGGTTTCTCTACTTTGCACGTGTAGGAACTGGTGGATAACGCAACTTCATGTATTTTACTCGCTTAACCTTTTGATAATGCACATTCCATCTACGTGGATAATGGATATGGATTTTCTTTAGATTTTTTTTAATGGACATAGATGAATGAGCTCTTCAATGAGTGAACGTAATTTTTTAATGCTATTTTCTTCTTCATTTTTCATTTGTGATAACTAATTTGACACGAAAGGTGACCTACATATAATAGGTTGTACTTGATTAATACTTTGGCTATTTCACAATTCCACACAGCTGATTTTAACAAATATTATTGTGTACAACAGAGTGGTATGTCATCTTCTTTAACAGGGTGAGTTTCTACTAAGCGCATTAATTTTTACCAATCATTCTACTCTCTAAAGAGAAAAAAAGTCAAACAGATATTTTCTAATCCCGCCCGTTAAGCTGGAATGGCCGATTACGTGTATTTTTAAAATGACCAGTAGTAGTTTCACTAAAACAAGCATATAACAAAACCAATACATGTACAGCATTTTAACTTACGCCAATGGAAAGAACGTTACATTGTTTACGAAACCACCGCAGCAACCCTTTAACATGCAATCCTATTTCCACCATTATAAGTCTCGCATAACATAAACAAAGAAGTTTTTGCACAACTTCCTAAGAACTTCAAAGTGGTGTTTCAACTACCAACACTTTAATGTGTTGTTTTGTCAAATTGCATAAACAAAATTGCATTGATGTAGATTTTTAGGTCGAGACTCCGTGAAGGTCAGAGTTTTGGGGAGCAAAACATTGCACCAAATTTAATATCTGTTACTTTTAATCCGCTGACATCTGATCAGCTGAGCCTTCGAATATAAAACCAGCTGTTTTTGATAGTTGCATTGTAAACATCTATTCCATGAATATACTTGAAAAATATTATAATTTTTATCTATTAACGACGAACGTACCAAAAATAAGGTATAAAATGGAAATTTTGATACTAGTGCATTCTGTGACTGGCTCACACAACTACGTTCTTTTTTTAATAAAAAATTGGTAACAGCTGTTCCATATAGATGGGATTTCTACTTCAGTATCCAATAGTCAATGATTATACTGAAACACTGATACTGTTACTTTACTGTCAATTTATTTTATTTCTCATTAAGTAATTGAAATAAAAGACGCCAATCGAATACAAGACGCTGAGAAGTTGAGAGAGAATTGCAAGGCGATACCATCTGGGCCACCGACGAATGGCGGTAAACACCGGTTTATTGGCTCCTGAATGTTTATAGTCCATCATTAGCTCATTCTCTTTCTCTTTATCTAACTTTAGTACCTCTACACTATTCAACGGGCGTTTAGCTACAATATTGCTTAATGATTAGTGTTATGTACTTCTTGCGTCTTTGAAATAAAGGGTGCGCCAAAAAAACCTGACGGTTTCTGATTTGTAATAACTCAGCTGTTATACAAGCTAGAGGCCTCATTGTTGTAGTGAACGATTGCTTATGTTATGCCATTTTAGGTTATGTTAGGTGAACATAACCTCATAACATACATGAACATAATGTTAGGTGAACATCACTTCGTCGAAAGAAAGTTACTGTCTAGTGTGGTGTGGCACGGCTTGGAGTCATCGAACCATATGTTTTTGAGGACGAAAGGGGGAACACCCCCTGTCACTGTAAACTCGGAACGCTATGAGGACATACTGAGGGAGTTTTTGGTTCCACAACTGCGAATGTTAGGAGGGATAGACATGACCAACACGTGGTTTCAACAGGACGGCGCAACTTGTCATACAGCCAATTATTCAATGACAGTTTTGCGTGAACTTTTCCCGGTATAGTGATCTCACGGTTTGGTGATGTGCGTGGTCAGTTCGATCCCCAGACTTAATTTCGTGTTACTGTTGGCTATGGGTATACTAAAAAAGCAAAATGTTTGTTTAGAAATTTCGAACCATCTATGAACTCAAACAGTGTATCCGGGAAGAGATTGTTTCTATTCATCAGGCTAAAGTGACTGCAAATATGTAAAAAAAAAAAAAAAAAAAAAAAAAAAAAATGGGAAGCCTGCGATTAGGAGAAGGTCCTAAGTGATATAATTGTTCATAAATGAAAATGGCATAGTAGTGTGTACAATATAATATTATTTAATACATAAAATTGTATTTTGTTCTTGAATTATTTAATATTAAAAACCGTCAGGTCAGGTTATTTTGGCGCACCCTTTATCACATAAAATGGGTTTTAATCCTTAATTCCTTATTTAGTTATATACTGTATAAGTACGAGCATATACTATATGGTGCAAGAAATGAACCAACTATAATAATACAGTAATAATAATAATACATTTTTGCCTTGACAATGTGAATTGTATCGACATTAAAATTAATAAATCCTAAGGTTTGGTTTAAATTTTAACTCTTTATAATTTCATATTTTAAATTTGGTTGTATTTTCCAGTCTTCAAAGGAATAGAGTGAATCTTAAGTAAGGATTTGCTTTAATCTTTATTCTTTTAATTTTTAACACTAATCGGTAATTTGTTAAATAATATTGTTTTGTGGAAAGTAGGAGAATATTTTTTTGTAATTTTCTAAAATTATAGGTAGTTCTTTACACATAGTTTTTCATTTTCCCAGAATTTCTCCAAGTTGTTTTTTAAAAGTAGTAATGTTTCGTAAATATATATTGATTAAAAGGCTATTAACTGGTGGTTTTAAATACTTCCTTGCATGATTGGCGTGGTTTAAATTTAAAAATAATTCTTGATGCAGCCTTCTGTAATATAAACATTTGTTCAGTTATGGAAGACGTTGAGCCCCATACAGGTATTGCATATCTAATGTGGGAACAATTAACGAATGATATACAGTCAGTAATACGTTTTCACTACAGAACTTAGACAATCTTCTCAGTTAAATGATAATTTGGGAAAGTTTTTTATATAAATGCTCAGTATGTGAGTTAAAATTTAAATTTTGGTCTATAAGAAGTCCCAGGAATTTGAAAGTTGTTTATACAACTTATTTTTTATATTGATAATAAATAAAAAAATTAACTTGATTCATTCTGACGGATTGTTAAATACCTTTATTGATTGAATGCGTCGAATAGCGTATTATTTAAGTAATAAACAACTACATAGGCCTACATCGTGATTTTTTCTGTAAATTTGCCAAGATTTTGAATGTCTAAAAATAGTTTCATTCTTGTGAACCAGTGTTTACTGGTTACTGCTCTCATCTATATTAAACCAGAGAAATAATGTTTGAATAATTTTGAAGCTTTTAAACTCTTTTTCAATTTTTGAAAAAAGAGGAGGAAAAATTCCATAGAACTGAGTGCACGAAACATATTACCGCCACACAACCCACAGAGTAAATTAACTTCGAAGTAACAAAGGGGAACTGTATGATGAAGTTGCTTTATTGTTCGTTCTTTGCTTGGGCGATTGCTTGATATTAAAGTAACGACAGTTCTTTGAATGAAACTTACCGAATTTGGTTGCAGAAATCTTTATATGAAAAAGGCAAAATATTCCATGCAAAATGTTCTTTGAACAAATTAAATATTCAAATGCTAAATTGTAAAATTATTCAGTAGGTACACTTTTATCCTTATAGTAAATATATTAATTATCATCAATACATGAAAAAATTTACCAACCCCAAGAGATGGATAAAGCTTAAATTTACCTGCTTGTATCTAAATTCTGAAACATTACAGCAGGGTATGAGTAGACGTTTGTTTTGTAACAATACATTCCGATAAAAATTGTAGAAATTATAATTTAATGTTTTTGAATATACTGTTATGTCAATATTTTAGTCTTCATAATTTTACCTTGGAAGGTTAAATACATACTGAAATTGAAAATTTATCATATACCTAACTAGTTTATTGAAATACCTAACTAATAATATGCTTAGGTTTCCTTAAAAATGAAGGTATACTAGATTTTTTGGCCAGTGTAGTCCTATGGGCTGAAAAGTATATCTAGATATAAGAAAAACTGCCCTAACTGTGATTATACAGTATTTTACATGATTGCAGGTTATACATAATTGCAATTTAAAGTTTTTTTTTTTACTTAACTTATTTTAAAAGGAAGCTTAAATTCAAAGAATAATCTTAGTAAAGCTTTAAACAAGTTCAAATACGAGATTTAGATTTATGAACAATATTCAATATAGTTTTATTTATGACTAGCTGTTACCCACGGGCTTCACCCCGTTTGACTTCATAAGTATTAATAAAATTATTGATTGTTTAAGTTAAGGCGAAATAAACAAAACGGAATACAGTAATACAAACAAATAATCACACCTGAGTTTAATCTTACTAATATTATAAATGTAAAAGTTTGTGTGTTTGTTTGTTTGTTTGAAGTTTGAAGTCCATTCACTGTTTGTAGTTGGATAACTTTATTTTTTGTTAAAAGGAATTACGAATATTGTAAATTCAGATTATTATAAAAAGGAAATTAAAGAATTTTTCTTGAATTTCTTTATTAGTATAAATTCACGGTAGCTTTGACCATTGATCTAATAGTCAACGACGGTATATATGGCATGCATAGGTTATTTTATGCAAACCCCACCTTAAATTATAGATACAGTATGTTCATGAACTTTTAGTTGAAGCCGAATCGAGACCGGTGACAAGGAAAGAATCAAGTTTATTCTATTGGTCGTCAAGAAACTTTGTTTTGCGGCTAACGAACATAGGTATCTAAAAAGCTTTTCCATGGCTTTGATTTTTTCCTCCAGAAGTTTTTATTTTATAATTAGACACAACAATTGCACTAGTAAAAACACAAAGGGGGGGGGGGGGTAAAATAATAAATTAAATTCTCAAATACAAATTTAAAACCATTTA